GGAGTAGTCGGCTCGAGGAGACGGAGTCCTTGGGCTGATACACGCCGTTCAGGTGGCGCCAAGCGTCGAGGGCTGGGGCAGCCGATGTCTTGTATGAACGAATGTTCAGCTGCTCCGCCGGCGACATGTTACGCAGAAGAATCCCGTACGCCATCAGGGACTCGTTATAATAGCGAGTCCTGGCGTCGTCGGTGTCCTCATCAGGTCCCGAGTAGCTCCCGTCGAAATAATGATAAATCTGCGCGTTTTGCAGCAGCAGCTCCAGCTCGAAGCTCCAGGTGTAAAAGTCTCTGCCGTCAAAGCACACACTGTCAGAATCCCAACCACTAGACCATTGGGATAAAAGGGCTTGTTTCAGTAGCGGGTCAGTGCGCCCATAACCCCCCGGGCGAACGCGCCTGTAACCCTCTCCAGGATCAATCGGGCATCCACAGTGCAGATCTACTGACACCCCCCCACACTGGGAGGCCCAGGACTAAGCACAGCGGCAACGGCCTACATGTGCATACACCGGGAATCGAACCCGAGACCGCTCTGATACCATGTCAGAATCCCAACCACTAGACCATTGGGATAAAAGGGCTTGTTTCAGTAGCGGGTCAGTGCGCCCATAACCCCCCAGGCGAACGCGTCTGTAACCCTCTCCAGGATCAATCGGGCATCCACAGTGCAGATCTACTGACACACACTTGTCTTTATTTTTGATATGCTCAAAAACCTTGATTGCGCGGAGAGAATTGCTTCATCGCTGGGACAGGGAGTCTTGGGGGTTGAGCCATTCGTATCTAGGGAGAAGCCTTGCGGGGCGGAGTTTTGGCCGTTTGACGCTGGTTGAGTGGGTTGGGAAGAGGTTCCCGCGTCGCCATTCCGCAATGTTTGGAGTCCTTGCTCCAGGCTCGTGAGTCGCTGAAGCAGTTGTGCGAGGACGGCGGAAGGGATCGTCGTCGTTTCCTCGCTTGTCGCAGCCGGGTTGGGCTGCGCTTCAGCCGTCAGATTCGTCTGACCACCAGATCCTCCGGCCATTCTCACACGCGAGCGTGTGCCGGACGCCACTTTCCGAATGTCGTAATTTTTCAGAAGTGGCAGTGCGAAGGATTTCCGAGCCGCTCTCATACCATGCTGCGATCAGAAGTTGATCGTGGCCTAGGATCTGTTAGAATAGTAAGCACAGTGAGGAGCCATAGCTAGGGTTGAGGTAGCTAGGCAAGAGAGAAATGAACAAAGGAGAGGTTTCACTAGCAGTAGTTGGGATACATATAGCAAACCCTAACAGGGTTGTACTCGCTATAGAGCACCCCACTACAGGCTAGATAATAACATTCTTACACACCCCCATAGCCAAAGTGGGGTGTAATCAGCAGAGCACGCAGTCATAGAGCAGGATCACAATTGCAAGCAAAGCTAGAGGCTATCACAGAGGGCAAGTGAGGAGGAGGAGAGACTGTGGGGGCGAGAACTTGGGAGGCGACTGCTGAAGCTGCAGACACACAGGAGCTGCTGGCTCAATGGCTACCGAAGCAAGGGCCCGGACTACAGGAATAACTGGCTCCGCGGAGATTGTAGCCTCCTGACTGGAGCAACTGACCCACAGGCGACTGGCGACTACCGGAAATTGTAGCCTCCGGACTGCTGGCGCTGCTGACGACACGACGGTTGCCTCCACTCAACCTCCCCCAGTTGCCCCACGCCCCTATCACACACCCCCTGCTGCACCCCTAGCTCCACTCCCACGACACCCCCCTAGCACCACTCCTTCGGCTCCCACACACCCACCCCCCTGAGCGGCAGCTGCAGCAGCGGGAGACGGAGGAGGAGGAGGAGTAGTGGAACGGCGCACAGAAACTGCACCACGGGGGACAGCGGGCAGCTCAGGGGCAGAGAAGAACGGGCCGCCCACGGGCCTGGCACAGCCAGACGAACCGCGCGCAGGCGGCCCGAGCCGCGCGCGGGCCTGGCGCAGCCCGTACGGGCCGCGCGCGGGCCTGGCGCAGCCCGTACGGGCCGCGCGCGGGCCTGGCGCGGCCCGTACGGGCCGCGCTCGGGGCTAGCGCAGCCCGCGCTGGCCGGGACGGGCGACCGGGGACGACGGGCTGGTCCCCGTCGCCCGTCGAAGCGCCCCCCGGGGGCGACGCGCGGACCGACGGGGCAGAAAGCCGCCGCGCGCCTCGGGGCGCACGGCGGGCAGAGAACCGCCGCACGCCCCGGGGCGCACGGCGGGCAGAAAACCGCCGCGCGCCTCGGGGCGCACGGCGGGCAGAAAATCGCCGCACGCTCCGAGCGCGCGGCGGGAAGAAAAATCCGTCGCACGCCACGGGGCGTGCAACACACAGAGTAGCAGTGGCAGCGGAAGCAGTGAGGTGGTGGGCCCATACACAGGAACGACCCAGGAGGGTCGACCTGCTTTGATAGCATGTTAGAATAGTAAGCACAGTGAGGAGCCATAGCTAGGGTTGAGGTAGCTAGGCAAGAGAGAAATGAACAAAGGAGAGGTTTCACTAGCAGTAGTTGGGATACATATAGCAAACCCTAACAGGGTTGTACTTGCTATAGAGCACCCCACTACAGGCTAGATAATAACATTCTGACAGGATCTACTCAGGAAGGTTCGCACGCAGAGAAGTGATGTTGGTGGGCCCTTGACCTCAATAGCAGAGTGAATGTAAAATGCTTTGAGATGATTTAAAACATGCAAATACAGCAGATATAAATATGAGTACAGGGGAGATGAAACGACCTAGCTAGCCATGTACTCTAAGGGGTACATTCCCTTATTCAAATACATTCCCAACCGTGCGGCGCGAACAGTTACGAAACTGTTCCCGCCGAAACCATCCTGCCTGCAGCTGCCTGATGCTGTCTGCTCCGACGGTCCAGATGCGTCCCAACTGTCTGACGCTTCGAGTCGATTCCAACCGTCTAACGCTTCGCGTTCATTCGCGATACTGCGTGCTTCTCTTTGCTGCGGTGAGGAGTGCACAGTAATATTCAAGTATTACTATTCGTAACACACATTACCTCTGTTTTTACAAGCCAATGGTTTATCGATGCAACTCAACAAACCTTCGTGATATCAGTGGCATGGCGACACCAAAACCTTCATGTTTTTTTTGCGGGAAAGTATATCCCAGCTCCATAGTTTCAAAAATATCTCAATTTTAGTCTTAAGTTTTCTCAAAAAGTACAGCTTTCTGGAAGTTTGCTCACGCGAGGCCCAGATTATGTTCAAAACTGGTCCTGCGGGGCAAACTTTTCGACACGTGTCCTATTTCGTATTAGCAATTACTGACGGGGGCAAAAAACATAAAACCCCTAGGGGAACCAGGACACACGTTCGGGAGGGACCAACCCTAAACACGGGGACCCGCTTGGTGTTTAGGGTTGATCCCTCCCGCAAATGTGCCCTAGTTCCCGAGGGGTTTTATTATTTTTTGCCCCGTCGAAAAATTTTCCAAGCGAAATTGGACACGTGTCGAAAACTTCGCCCCGCAGGACCAGTTTTGAACATACTTTGGGCCTCGCGTGAGCGAAATTCTAGAAAGTAGTACTTTTTGAGTGAACCTGGGGCTAAATTTGAGAGAAATCTGAAAGTATGGACCTGGAATATAGTTTCCCTTTTTTTGCCACTGACCATTATGACTCTCATGGACAGTAGGGCCACAACTTGGCAAAGCGAGCGCCGTCCACGTGGCGGAGATGCTTCATCTTGAGTGGAGGGGATTGTTGAAGGTCGATCGTTTTGAACCAGTGATTGATGTCGTGGCCGAAATTGTGAGCTGGGTCCGCAGGAAGATGCATTTGCCCCTCATGTTTCGATCTTCATGACGTGGCATACCTCAGTGCAGGATTTCTCTAAAATGTGGGTTCCAGACCCGACCAAACCAACTGGCTGCCTCGCTCCGCCTGCCTCAATCAACGGTCGTCAAGCATTTGGTACTGAAGGCAGGCAGGGTAGCCATGGATGGACCTGCGCCTCCTTGCGTATGGCCTACGCGGCGCACCCGCGCCAACTGACTGACTCCTTTTCCATCCCACATGGCTGCTTCTTTCCCCACTTCCCTGCCACCTAGCCACCAGATCAGAGCAGAGTTCATCCGCAACATCCGCACTTGCCTTCCAGCTCAGTGAAACGCTGCGCGGGACTGGCAGGTGGGGTCGTGATCCTTGCTGGAGAACCAAACAGTGGAAGATCTGGTGCAATCAGATTTTCTTCTGACTCAGAGCGATACAGAATTCAGCGAAGAGATTGGGAAAGGCGAAACGAACGAACGATTCTCGCCAGCTCAAACTGGGCTGGCCGTTCCTCATCGCAAAGTTCAGAATGTGACCACTGTCCACTGTCGTTTGTCGTCGTCCTTCAGTGTCCTTGTGGTGCGCTCCTCCACCTTCCTTGCAGTTCTTCTCGTTCTCGCACTACACCGCACCGAACCGATTGAAAAGTCAGCAAACCGCATGCTATTTGGCCCACCAGGCAGGAAAAACAGAAGGAGCACTGTGTAAGTCCGTAAGGACCAAGCTGCGTAACAGCAGATACCACACCAGAAGCTGCAGCAAGCAGGCGCATGCAGCTAATTGACGCAACAAGAACCATCGGCATGGTCGTAAATCACCGCCTGCCTTGCAAGATTGCGCGAGTCATTTTCAAGCAGAAAGATTTTTCCACTGGTCTCAGGCTGGACTCGGGTTTCTGCGCCCCAGTCTTGTGGTTACGATTTATTCCACCTCCTTTTCGGGAAGCATCGCAACATTTGCACCACTGTCAGTCAGCACGTAACGCTCATTAAATCTCTTCTTAGGGGGCCATCAGAACATATTCCAAGCTGTCTCGTGTAGTGCATGTCTTGCAGGTCTCTTTCTGAATTCTCCGTCTTCTCCCTTCCTTCCCCACTCGAAAACAACGGTTCTCGGTTTATTTGTTAACCAATTTCTCAACCTCCGCCAGTTCGCTGACCTATCCTCCGTTAATCTCTATTACCCGTTAGTTAATCTCCCCACCGCACCTTATGCCGTCGACAGCCGCCGTCCACGCACCCGTCTCTCACCACCTCGGCTCCACCCTATCAAAGCAGCACGTGCCGCTAAGGAGCGTCGGAATCGCCGCTGGTTCTGCTAGAAACATGCAGGCGGTATTCGAGGATGAGGATAATTGGCTCCTGTCGTACCTCGCTTCCACGTCGGTGGGCAAAGACCCGCGCCTGAACGCGGCCACCGTTAAGGCGGCTTCCCCCCCCGCCGCCGCCACCGCCGCCGCCACCGCCGCCCCCGCCTCCGCCAGCTCCGCTCCCGTATCTGCGGGAGCTGACGTTTCGTCTTCTCCGCTCGCTCCGCCCGTCGACGCCGCCGCGGAGTCGTCCCGCCGAACCTCTCCCCCCCGCGCAGCTACCGCAGTTACTACCAGTAACGGCGGCGCAGCGCACAAGCTACCAGACACTTCCGCCGATAATTCGTCAATTTCAGGCGAAGCTAGTGCCACAAGCGGCGCAACTGCCGCTGCGGTGGACCCGCCAGTGACGTCCCTCGCCGCGCAACAGCAGCAGTCGATTCCACCAACCGTGAAACTCCCCAAATCCCAAAGCGCTGCCCCGCGATTCCGTTCGCTCGCACCCGCCGCCGACGAGGGGACCAGTTTTGTCGACCCTGATGTCGCAGCAGCAGCAGCTGCCTCCGCAGCGGCGGTTTCCGCCATCACCGCCGCAGTCAGCGGCGCGTCAATGAAGTCTCCGCCGGAGAGCTTCAACGATTGGGTGGCGGGAGCAGGGCGCAAGTATCGCCGCCACTCGACTGCGGCCTCCCCCTCTGCTGCGCCTGGCGCGGGTTTCGGCGCAGGCGCAGGAGCAGGTGCGGGTGGCGCGTCCGCGTTACAAGGTGACATGCTGGGGCAGGGCGTAGCTATGGCTGCCGACGCAGCGGCAGCCACGGGGGCCGCGGGGAGGCGGAGGCGGTCGAGTGTCGGGCGCGTGTCGATGAGCGGACGGCGACAGTCCATGGATTATTCCGAGCTCGATGCCATCAGGGAAAGGTGAGAATCCGCCGGTTGAAAATCCTTCCCATTTTGTGAAATTATCAAGCGAAAGCTTCGAGTGCATTTTTTGTTTATCAAGTTATCGCGTTAGTTGTTTCCGCTTAAATTTTCACCTTGGTGGACAATTGGGTTAGAAGCCCTTTAATTTTCTCGTTAACTGCTCTGGTGTCAGTAGATTCACTTTTAACCTCGGTAAACATGTCAAAGGGGAAAGAACAACTGATACCGACGAAGAGCCTTACTAAACGCGCTTTTGTCACACGTTTAGGACACCGGCTCTCGTTGGATATTTACGTTTGGGATGACGCAATTCTTGTTCGTTAGACATGGTTAGTGTTAGCATTAAACGTTGTTTCCTGATCCGGACATTGGTAGTGTAGCTCATAAACATTTTGCAACGAAATCCCTAGTTCCCTCTTCCGCCTTCTCAATATCCTCCCACTCGGCCAGACTCCTCCATGCGGCTCATCTGTGGGCCGTAGCCGCGCCTGACGAGACTGAGGAGGATGAAGAGGAGGACGAGGATGCAGAGGAAAATGTCAAGGTTGACCCCCCAATGGCTCGTTCAGGCCTTTCCGCAGCCACTGTCGACAAGCTATCTGCCTCCTTGAAAGCAGGAGAAGCACTGAAGAATGAGACAGATAAGGCACGCGGAGAGAAGCGGGGAGGGGAGGCTGCGGCTGGAGGTGCTGAGGGAGGGGGGGGATCTCCTGAAAGTGCTGCCAGTGGCGCGCTTATGACGCGCCGAAGGGCAGGGAGTGTTGAAGGGATAGGAGGCAGTTTCGAGGATGGTATGGGCGGAAATGGGAGTGGCAGTGGAGGGGGGGGGTCTGGCAAGTTGTTGTCCAGTCAGGCTGCTATGATGGAGGCAAACAGGGATCCGACCAAGTCCCCTTCGTCGTTCATAAAGAAATGGATGAAGGGACCCAGTGGGTTGGGGAAGTGAGAGAAGAAGGGAGCGGACGGGAAGTGGAGCGAAGGAAAGGGGGAGCTGTGGAGGAGGTGAGATGATGCAGATGTTGTGGCTGGTGGCGGGTAGAGAAGGGCTGGCTGCATGAGTGGATAAGGTGCAGCTTGCTGTGTCTTGTTAGTTTGGATACTGTTGGTTTTTTTGTGGCGAATTGGGGTTGCTTTTGTCCTGCAGAATAGTTGCTGGCTTAGCTAATTTGCCTGTTACCATGTGATGTTGTAATCTAGTGCCACTCTGCAGCATGTGATGAACCGTGTTGCCATGAATGAGGTGTAATGGAATGAGCGCTGATGCAGTAACATGAGCGATGATACAATGAAACTAAGGGCGCGTAACCAATTTGCACTTTCATGACGGTTGCAATTTCGTGGAAAACAAACCGTCATGTGATTGGTCGTCAGTGCCGCACCTGGGCAAATTCCTGATTCTTTTGCATTAGGGTTCAACCTAGTCTAAAAATTTTTAAACTCGGATTCATCAGTGTAACATTTTTTAAGAACCCTGCTCAGTTGTTGTTAGACATTATCAGACAAAGCACAAGGGTGTTGCTCTCCTGGTCACTATCTTATTCTGGCTCGGGCACCTTCTCTTTCCCCCTCCTTTCCAAGGGCTTCGCAGGTGCAATTGATTTCGCCGGTCTTCTTGTTTTTTGCTTGCGCCAGAAATCCACGTCATCTGGCCAGACCAGAGCTATTTTTTTTATTTTAACTACCCTTATGATCAGTGTAGTACCGGTACATGGTCAAAAACCTGATTATCAGTGTGACCCCTTGTAAAAAACCGTTTCCATCAGGGTTTTGGCCGTTTTTCAAAATTTTACCCTGTCGCATCAGTATTCTTAAAACCAGCAGCTAAAATAGTGACCCCCCCCCCTTCTAGTTGGGTCCACTTGAAAACACAAGTTCGTTACGAACGTTTGAAAAGTTGACGGCCTGTGCGTTTTTACTTTTTTTTTCATCCCAGACGAGTCTTGATCTGAACGGGAAACATGAGGAACTTGTTTACAAATCTTATTGGTGGCGACTTTCACCCACATTCGTATGCGAATTTGGCGCAAGGCTGCAATCCCACATTCAACATAGCAGCCGTCGTAACTTCACAAGAATTCCCATATGCTAAAAACAGCGCACACACAGGCAAAATCCAGCGTGCACAGACAAAAACTCGCAAAATCCTGCGCGAACACTGGCATGATCAAGCAAAATCCATGGCACACACATGTGAAATCAGACGAAGAAGATATAAATATGTATATTTTTAAAAGCTGTAACGCTTTTCAAAATTATGTATTTCGAAAGCGAAGCTGCTTGTAATGTAGGATTTGGCAGCGTCGAGCCGCGCTAAACGCCCGTTTTGGAGTACAAAACGTGGGCTGGAGGTCATTTCCCAACACCCACGTCTCTCATTTTCAAACGGTTTAGCCGATTTTCATTCTCAACTCTCGTCTCCCACTCTCAAGCTGGCGAAGTTGAAGTCTCTTCCCCGATTTCAATCCCCGTCGACTTGACTCTCTGACATTTTCGCTCACAACGCAGCAACCATGGCACTTAACGACGGCGAGGGTAATACCGCTACCGCCTCTGTTCGACCCGAGTCCGGAAGAAACGCACGCGAAATTGCCGGCGATCGTCCTAACAAGCGTCGGGCAGACGACGGGGAAATTTCCCCGACTGGCGTCGACGTACTGCTGGGCGCGACCGAGGCTCACGCCCCTGGAGTCGAGGCACACGCCCCTGGAGTCGAGGCACACGCCCCTGGTGTGCCTCGAGCCCCTGTGGCCCCTCAGGCGCTGGCCGCGACAGAAGGCGCCAAGTCGGTGTCAACCAGCGCGGCTGGCACCCCGCGTCCGCGTCAGCGCCGCAGACCCGTGGGCCCTGACGCGCCTTTTTTTTTTTTTTCGGTAATTGCAATGTACACCGATAGAACAAACATACATAAGCAATAACAGTCGTAACTGCGCATGAGGGGAAACCATGTGGCCGCCCCAGGTGTGGCCTCTAAGGAGGTTGGCGAGTCATCCTCGGTGCGAGCCAGACATTTGAGAAGGCTTTCGTCCACGTCCACGACTTGCTATGCTTGTCCCTGATCCGAAACAGTAGCTTGTTCTCGCTCTCCAACACCCGGCGAAACTTCCCCTCATGTTGCGTGCCCTTGCGCTTCTTCCACTCCGCGTCCCTCGATCTCGTGTAGATGCGTGCATGCAGGCGGAAAGCAGCCTCGACACGGCGGAGCACCCGCCTCGTCCGGAATTTCTTCCCCCGAAATACAGCGCCACACCGCTCTGCCCACGGTTGGTGAAGCGTAATAGAAGTAAGCGTGGCTTCCGGAAAAGCCGTGCTGGTCCCCGCCTTCCGGAACAACAGGTCTCCCAATGATGACACAGCACGCGAACTGTTTAGCATGCGGAGAGATTTTAGCAGTGCAGACGTCACCACTTCTTGGGACAGCTGTATAAACAGTGCTCAAGAGTTTCCTCACCCCCACAGTACGGGCAGACCGGCTTGCTGCTAAAAAAAGCCACCCGTTCTCCCACTTGCAGGTTCAGATTATGGATTCGCAGCAGAACATCCCTCGGCTTACTCGGCGTGACCAGAGAATCACGAATGGCGATAGTCTTTTTCCAGTTGATATTTCCGCTCCACCTGCCCTTCCACAGTTGTTGCTTAGCAGATGGCTTCTGCCCCTCCTTCCAAAGCAGCTTCAACCGCCTCAGGGGCGCAATCCCTCCGTTCTCAAAAATGGGGAAGTCGGAAAGCCTGCGCCCTGCGGGGTGGAGAGCCCTCCTGTCCCCCGTTGAGTTGGAGGGCTGAGGGGAAGCGCTGAGCAGCAGCTCTTTCCACTTCTGAGGCGCAGCTTCAAACGCCCTCCGTGCAAGCTTGGCTGCTCCCTTCCCGCCGAGCTCTTTTTCCAGTGTGACTGAGTCCTTTAGCTCCGGAACCCCGCTACCTCCGAGTTCGACCAGATCACCAAGGCGCCTTTCCCACAACAGCTTTGCATCTTGCTGGCCTCCCACCGGCGTAGTTCCGTTGAGCAATAAACGCTTGTTGAAAACAATCCGCTCCCCTGCCACCGCTTCTCTTGTAGCCGCCTCCGGGAGAGTACCAAGCGGCGTTTTCATGAAGTTCTCACACGCGACCTTCCAGCGAGCACTCTTCCCCTCCCAATGCTTCAGCAGCTTCTCATGGGCGAAGAAAGTCTCGATGCCCATGGGTAGATCCGCGGCCCGCACCATAAGGTGTTTTTTCAGCTGATTAGTCTCCAGTGCTAACAGCCCTACCCTCCTCGCCGTGAGGCACGCCAAGATCATCTCCGGGTCCTGCACACCCACTCCTCCCAGCTTTCTTGGGGTGTATAGCAGTTCCTTACTCCAGAGACGGAAAACCCTATCCGCCGTTGCCTTATTGCCGGAGACGAAGTTTTCGAAGGTATTGGAGATGACCCCCCACTGTTTTGCCGGCGGCGGGTAGACCTGCGCTTGAAAAGCCTCCTTCGGCATCGTGTAACTGTTGACAACTGCAGTACGCGCCGTTGTCGGCAGGTATTTTTGCTCCCATTTTTTAACCTTCCCCGATATGTCCTCCGAGGTTTTCTCCCATGTTGGCAGGCAGCTCCCGGAAGGCGTGATCCACACGCCCAACAGCTTCTCCGCTTCATCCTTCTTCGCCCACCTGAAGCTATGTGATCTCCCCGTCGTTCTGCCAAGATTGTTCCCCAGCGGTAGGACAACCGACTTATCTCGGTTTGTCGCCAACCCGGAGGTCAGTTCGAATTTCGCCAGCACCTTCTCAGCCTTGATGAGCTGCTGCTTTCCTTCCAATACCAATGTGGTGTCATCCGCGTACCCGATGTACGCCAATCTCTCACTTGCTTTGCTGATACCCATCTTCTTCCTGAGGACCGTCTGCGCCAACGGCTCAACCGCACAGAGGAAAAGGTAAGGCGCGAGAGGACAGCCTTGGCGCACCCCGGAAAACACTTCCACACCTTCCCCCATCCATCCGTTTACTAACAGCCTCGTTTGCGTTCCTTCGTGCAGGCCCTCCGCCCACCTCACAAACCGATCCGGGAAGCCCATTGCGCGCATCGTCCGGAAAAGATAGCCGCGCGAGACGGAGTCGAAGGCTTTCTTAAAGTCGACTAGCAGGAGGAACCAGTCCTCGTTGTCGTTCCGCGCGGAGTCAATGATGTCGGCGACAAGTCCCACTGCATCCGTTAGCCGCCTTCCCGGAAGGAAACCATATTGCTCCGGCGATATCACCCTCCCCAGATACTTCTTCACTCTGTCGGCCATGACCCGCGCCAACACTTTGTACGTGAAGTTGAGCAGCGTGATCGGGCGATAGTTATTAAGCTGATCCTTGTCGTTTTTTTTATGCAGCAGGATCGTCACCGCTTCCTTCACCTCCCTCGAAAGCACCGCGGTTCTTGCAAAATCCTTGGCGAGGGCCATGAACCCTTTTCCCAGCAGGTCCCAGTGAGCTTCAAACAATTCCTTAGGCAGCCCGTCTTTGCCTGGGGATTTATTCGCCGCCATCGCGCTAAATGCGTGCTTCACCTCCTCTTCTGTCCAGTCTGCCGATAGCTCCGCTGCTTCCCATGCCCGTAAAGTCTTGTCCTTGTCAGGACGCCACCTCTCTTCAAGCTGACAGTGGTCTCTCCCGAAGATATCGGCGAAGAAATCCGATGCCGCCCGAAGGATCCCTTGTGAGTCTGATACCACTCCGTCTGCCGTCTGCAGCTCAGCAATCTGGGTACACGCCTTCCTCGCCTTCACCATCGCCGTCAGATGCTGCGACGCTACTTCACCCCTGAGCTCCAACCGCATTCCCGACATCAGGTGCAGTTTGTCTTTCCGTGAAGCCTGATATTCCCGCAGCTGCGCTTCCTTCACAGCTAACCGTTCGCTTGTTTGCTTGCAGGTCGGATCCCGCATCATCGCCTGCCGAAGACTGGCGACAACGTCCACCAGGTGAGTC